TCCAGCTCTACAGATTGCTCCGCGTACTAAAGTTGTACTAGAAAGTCGCCAGTTCTCAGCTTCCAGCTCTACAGATTGCTCCGTGTACTAAAGTTGTACTAGAAAGTCGCCAGTTCTCAGCAGTGCCTGCCACGAAACCTCCACATGGAGGTTCACAAAGCGCTGCGCCTGCCACGAAATCTGTACATGGAGGTTCACAAAGTGCTGCACCTGCCACGAAATCTGCACCTGGAGGTTCACAATGCGCTGTGCCTGCCACGAAATCTGCAGATGGAGATTCGCAAAGCGCTGTGCCGGAGGTTCACAAAGTGCTGCACTTGCCACGAAATCTGCGCATGGTGGTTCACAAAGTGCTGCGCCTGCCACGAAATCTGCACCTCGAGGTTCACAAAGTGTTGCGCCTGCCACGAAATCTGCACATGGACGTTCGTTCACAAAGCGCTGCACCTGCCACGAAATCTGGACATGGAGGTTCACAAAGTGCTATGCCTGCCACGAAATCTGCACTTCAAGAAACAAGTGAAAACTCTAATCCCAATGGAGGGACGATTCCGACCATGATCCGAGAATGACCCGAGACCGTCTCGCACCCGTCGTTCCGCAGAGCTAGACTTGCCAGGTTTGAAGCCACCAGTTCTATTGAAAAATACAGCATTTCGTTCGTCCGCTATCTCTCCAAAACGCATTTTGTATTGCGCCTGCCACGAAATCTGCACCTGGAGGTTCACAAAGTGCTGCTAATCTGCACCCCGAACCCACCAAGGCCCCCACCTCATTGTGCAGCCATGCGAGAATGATCAGTCTTTCTTGCGGGGTGCGAGGTGCAAAAACGAGCGGTTGCGATCATGAATTGCACATACACGGAAGCTTGGATTGGACATTCGTTATTGTACGTTATTGCACATCCAATTCAATTTCTTTCCTGCTATTTCCCTTCTTGAAGGTTAATGGACCTCAACTTTCGGGGAAACGCTGGATTCACCAGGGTTGCTTTGGCCCACACATTCATACCTAGTCTATTCTATGCACTCTGACAAGTACTTTTCTGCCATGCTGGGTGCTTGCATCATGTGTTCATGTTACAAAGAAGTTAATCATGAAGGTTACAACCCCTGTAACATTCAAACTCTACAACCCTTGCGCTCCAGAAGTTCTTCACACCCCTCAAACAAGGGATCTTCAGCAAGCC